AAAGATGGTGAGATGCCTCCTCCCATGCTGGACCAACTGCAGCCAGGCCACGGCTAGGCTGGCAAAGGCCTTTAAGTTCTCATCTCCTGAGATACCAAAGGAAATCACATGGCAACTCATCTCTGACCTCTGTGGAAGAGGGTTTTCAAGACTGGGTCATTTTGGCTGTGCTTTGCTGGGTTAAATGGACTCCAGGTTTGAAGCAAAATGGATCCACTCCTGTTGGTAGCAAAGAAGTTAAACCACAGTGACCAGAGCTTTCCGAGAGATCTGATCCACCCCCGAAACCTAGAGAGTCCATGTCCCTCTCATGCTCAAAATATGATACGTGGCACTGGGGCACAAAAGCATGTGATCCCACTCCATCTCACAGCCCTGACTTCCAGGGAACTCCATGTTCCCCTGTGTTGGGTTATTGTACTCTGGTTTGCTTTGTGACCCAGCAAGACTTTTGTTTCAGTGACCTCCTTTTTTCTGTGTTCACTTATGGCAGGGGCTGCACCTTGGGGTCTTGGTTCTTGACCCAGAACTTTTTCTTTGGTGGCACAGACAAAAATCACAAGAGATCACAGTGTAGATCTCTTCCTTCAGGAAACACAGAGCTTCATCAGGCCTGCTGCTAACTCTGCTGTTTTGAATGGAAGAGCTTTTATGGAATTACTCCCATCCTTCAGACAGTCCCCCTAGAGCCCTGACCTCATGGTACCATGATAACCATAACGTGAGGCATCACTTTCTGCATGTGTTGCTGTCATGGATGGCTATGTGCTTTTTAGGAAAGACAGGCCAGGAAGGCGAGGTGGTGGAGTTGCTCTTTATGTGAGGGAGCAACTAGAATGTATGGAGCTCTGCCTCGGGGTGGATGAAGAGCAAGTTGAGAGCCTATGGGTAAGGATTAAAGGGCAGGGTAACATGGGTGACACTGTTGTGGGGGTTTACTACAGGCCACCTGATCAGGAGGAAGTCGTCGATGAGGCCTTCTACAGACAGCTGGAAGAAGCCTCACGATCACAGGCCCTGGTTCTCATGGGAGACTTCAACCACCCTGACATCTGTTGGGAAGACAGCACAGCTAGGCACAAACAGTCAAAGAGGTTCCTGCAGAGCATTGATGATAATTTCTTGACCCAGGTGGTGGAGACGCCAACGAGGAGAGGTGCAATGCTAGACCTTGTACTAACGAACAAAGAAGGTCTAGTTGGAGATGTGAAGGTTGGGGGCAGCCTTGGCTGCAGTGACCATGAGATGGTGGAGTTCAGGATCCTGCGAGGAGGGAGCAGGGCAATGAGTAGGATTGCAACGCTGGACTTCAGGAGAGCTGACTTTGGCCTCTTCGGGGACCTACTTAGGGGAATCTCCTGGGGTAGGGCCCTAGAAGGAAGAGGGGTCCAAGAGAGCTGGTTAATATTCAAGCGTCACTTCCTCCAGGCTCAGGATCAGTGCATCCCTCTGAGGAAGAAGTTCAGCAAAGCGGGCAGGAGACCTGCATGGATGAGCAAGGAACTCCTGGCCAAACTCCAGCAGAAGAAGGAAGTGTACAGAATGTGGAAAAGGGGACAGGCCACTTGGGAGGAATACAGGGACGTTGTCAGAGCGTGCAGGGATGCGACAAGGAAGGCTAAGGCCCAGTTGGAATTAAATCTGGCAAGGGATGTCAAGGACAACAAGAAGGCCTTCTTCAAATACATCAATAGCAAAAGGAAGACTAGGGAAAACGTGGGCCCGCTGCTGAAAGGGGCGGGTGCCCTGGTGACAAAGGATACAGAGAAGGCAGAGTTATTGAATGCCTTCTTTGCTTCTGTCTTCACTGCTAAGGCCAGTCCTGAGGAATTCCAGACCTTGGAGACAAGAGAGGAAGGCTGGAGAAAGGAAGACTCTCCCTTGGTTGAGGAGGATCGGGTTAGAGATCTTTTGTCCAAACTTGACATCCACAAATCCATGGGCCCCGATGGGATGCACCCACGAGTGCTGAGGGAGCTGGCGGATGTTATCGCTAGGCCTCTCTCCATCATCTTTGAAAGGTCCTGGAGATCAGGAGAGGTGCCTGAGGACTGGAAGAAAGCCAATGTCACGCCAGTCTTCAAAAAGGGCAAGAAGGAGGAGCCAGGAAACTACAGGCCTGTCAGCCTCACCTCCATCCCGGGAAAGGTGATGGAACAGCTCATCCTGGAGGTCATCACTAAGCATCTGGAGGACAAGAAGGTGATCAGGAGTAGTCAGCATGGATTCACCAAAGGGAAATCATGCTTGACCAATCTGATAGCCTTCTATGACAGAATGACTGGCTGGGTAGATGAGGGCAGAGCAGTGGATGTTGTCTTTCTGGACTTCAGCAAGGCTTTTGACACTGTCTCCCATCACATCCTCCTAGGTAAGCTCAGGAAGTGTGGGCTAGATGAGTGGACGGTGAGGTGGCTTGAGAACTGGCTGGATGGCCGAGCTCAGAGGGTTGTGGTGAATGGCGCAGAGTCAAGTTGGAGGCCTGTGGCTAGTGGTGTCCCCCAGGGGTCAGTCCTGGGCCCAGTCTTGTTCAATATATTCATCAATGACCTGGAGGAAGGGACAGAGTGCACCCTCAGCAAGTTGGCTGATGATACTAAACTGGGGGGAGAGGCTAACACACCAGAAGACTGTGCTGCCATTCAGAGGGACCTGGACAGGCTGGAGAGGTGGGCGGAGAGGAACCTCATGAAGTTCAACAAAGGCAAGTGCAAGGTCCTGCACCTAGGCAGGAATAATCCCATGCACCAGTACAGGCTGGGGACTGACCTGTTGGAAAGTAGCTCTGCCGAGAAGGACCTGGGAGTGCTGGTGGACAACAAGTTAAACATGAGCCAGCAGTGTGCCCTTGTGGCCAAGAAGGCCAATGGGATCCTAGGGTGCATTAGGCAGAGTGTTGCCAGCAGGTCGAGGGAGGTGATCCTGCCCCTCTATTCAGCCCTGGTGAGGCCTCACCTGGAGTACTGTGTCCAGTTCTGGGCTCCCCAGTACAAGAGAGACATGGCACTCCTGGAGAGAGTCCAGCGGAGGGCTACCAAGATGATTAGAGGGCTGGAGCACCTCTCCTCTGAAGAAAGACTGCAAGAGCTGGGCCTGTTCAGCCTGGAGAAGAGAAGATTGAGAGGGGATCTCATCAACGTGTACAAGTATCGGAAGGGGGAGTGTCAAGAGGATGAGGCCAGCCTCTTCTCCGTGGTGCCCAGCAACAGGACAAGAGGCAATGGGCAGAAACTGAACCACAGGAAGTTCCATCTGAACCTGAGAAAAAACTTCTTCACTGTGAGGGTGACAGAGCATTGGAACAGGTTGCCCAGAGGGGTGGTGGAGTCTCCTTCGCTGGAGATATTCAAAACCCGTCTGGATGTGATCCTGGGCAATCTGCTCTAGGTGACCCTGCTTGAGCAGGGAGGTTGGACGAGATGATCTCCAGAGGTCCCTTCCAACCTAAACGATTCTGTGATTCTGTGATTCTGTGATGTAAGGCTGCCTGCAGACACGTGTGTGCTGGTCTCACGTGTGAGACAAGATGATCTGTCTAGAACATCCAAAAAAGGGACTGCACCAAAGATGTGAATTAACCAAACTGGCCAAGAGCACATTGTGTTTTGGGACTGAACTGCAGCTGGCAAAGCATCAAGAACCTCTGAAGACTTCTGCATCTGCCTCTTTCTGAGATGCCCTCAGAAGAGAGGGCAGCAAGAAAGGGAAAAGGAATTTCCTACTACAAGAGGGAATTAGTTATTTCTCATCTAGCCTCGTGACTGTCTTTCTCTGCTTGAGACTGCAGCCTGTAAAGCGCTGCTGCATTATTAACTTGCTGCTATTTAGCAGAGCTATTTTTATCAGTGCACATAGCAAAGCACATACAAAAGTGCAAGAGACGCCATTGCCTCCTGTACTGTGCTTCCCTGGGGCGCTGGAGTCTCCCAAGCTAAAAATAAAAATAAATAAAAAAAATAAAATAGCAAGGATGGGTCTGTTGCCTACAGGAGATATAAGGATTACTGGGTAGATCGTAGCAAAATAAGGAACACTGTGATAAGACTGCTGGCTACACTCAAAGACAGAAACCAGCAATGCTCCCGGGGATGCAACCTGGGATAGAGCTGGGAACACAAGTGATACTGCTGGGCAAACCAGGGAGGGCAGCCATACTCTTTGGCACATCATATTATTTCTAGGGATGCCAGGAAATCCCAAGAAAGAATAAAAATGAAATATTTCTGTCAAGAGTCAAAGTGAGGACAAAAGCACCCTGAGCTATGGCACAGGATACAAAAATGAACTTGTTGTACTGAAGTCTTGGGAGGAGGAGGCCAAGACTGAACACAAGTGCTCATAGAGCCTGCAGTTGTTGAAGGGAGAGCTCAGATTAATGGGGATGTCTTTCTTCCTGCCATCAACCCCTATAGGCACTCTGTCTGAAGTGTGGAGGAAAGAGGAGTCCAGATCTGGTACTGGGCTGGAGGGAGCAAGAGCACAGTGATCTCTAGTGCAGGTAGAGCAGGCACATGAGTGTGCATGAGGACTGTCACACAACGGGACATCGCTTCCCTTTTCTTTTCCTCCAGACATTGCACAGGGCTGGTGCCACAGCTCCTGTTGGGATCCTCTCATTGAGGAAGGAGCAACCCGGCCTGGTAGAACTCTCACTTTTGAAGAGGAGAGCTAGGCCAGACACACCAGCAATGAGCCTAGCAAGTGATAAATAAGTGTACGAGTTCCTCTTTTAGCTCAGCGCCTGCCTTTCCACATGGGTTCAGCCTTTCCCAGTTCTCAGGGCTCCTCTGCCTATGTAATGCATGCCACATCTCCCATTCTACACCCATTGGCCTTTTCTTCCCTTCTCCAGGATACATCCTCCTCCAGACTCACCCTGCAGCACACACCCCACCTCCCTGTTGGACTGGCCATAAACCCTCTGCCTCGTCCGCCCCAGGGAAAGGAGTCAAAGAGAAAATGAGGGAAAGGGGACCAGCTCCTCCCTGCGAAGGACTCACGGTTGGCCAGCACAGCAGGAGGCGGACATCAGCGATGTGGGCCGGCAGTGCCTGCAGCTTGGCGCACACATATATCACATTGGAGAACACCTGGTGGAAGCGGAGCTCTACCCGTGCCCCGCACGGGAACGTCACTATTTCGCTAAGCAGCTCTGGAAGAGAAAGTCAAGCAGGATGAGCGCCAAATGCAGTGCTGAGCTGCTCGAGGCCTCTCACCATCAGCCCCGGCTGCTCCTCATAGGCCAATGTTGTGCAACCTCTTCCCAAATAGCTGTGAGACCTCTCCCACCTGCCAGCGCTCAGGGAGGCTGCGTGTGTGCAGCAGCCCAGCTGCCGTGGCACCTGGCCTCCATCTCGAAGCAAAGCACTCCTCTGCTGCCCTCGCGTTACTGCCGTACCACTGCCTCGCCTGGCTGTGCTGGGACCCTCAACCAGAGGCAAAGCTGGGAAGAGAACGGGGTTTTCCCCTACACATCACAGAGCGCTCATCCAGCAGCCAGCACCGTGAGGCAGTCTCACACTTGGTACCTTCTCACCTTTCCCCCTCCCCAGCCTCGGTACTCCCTCCTCATCCTCAGCACTGGGGGACACAGAGGGTCCCTGGTCCTCCCAGCCCCACTGTGCTCTTTTGGTATGTCACTTTTGAATTTGTCCCTCTGTGCTCCTCCTTCCTTGCCTGTCAGCTCTCCCCATTACCTGCATGCTTACCATAGCTGCGTCCCCAGCGCGCTGCAGCTGCTCCTGAGGGGCAGACAGGGTCTGTCAGGGCCCGGGCTTCCTTCAGAGTGTGCTTGATCTCCATCACCTGTTTCCCAGTGACCAAAGGATCCCGGCCAATATCTGAGAGAGAAATTTTAGAGGCACTAAGGGCACTGCAGCACCCAGAGGCATCCAGGTCCCTAATTTTCTCTTCCTGACTTTCAGACCTTATATGAACATCCTGGCAGTGTTGCTACTAAAAGCTCTCACAAGGCATGTCCTGCCGTGCTTCTATGAGCTTCTGGCCTGGCTGGACTCTCCTTGCTTGTGCTGAATGAGCCAGGCTCACCTACGATGCAGAGTGCCTAAGGAACGGATAACCTTAATAATGATTTAGACAAAGGCCTTCCTCTACTTTAACAATCTTACTGCATCTGCTCTGTGACTTCTGCTCTCCCTCTTTGACTACCAAGCCCCCCTGCCTTCCAGATCACAAACACGTGCATTTTCTATTTTTTAGGACTGGGGAGCGTGGGTGCTGATCTTCATTCTCACCCTCGCTGGGATGCAGAGATGCTGAGCACTCATCACACTTTCTGCTGGTATCTCCTCTCTCCACCAGTACTGAAATAAGTGGTTTCTAGCTTAAAAGCACTCCTTTACCTTCTAGCACATCCTCCAACATGTGTGTAACTTTTTTCTCCTGCAGAATATGTTTCTTCAGATATTTCATGAAGATCCCAGAGCTGAATTCTCCGTCCTGCAACTCATAGGCTTCTGCATCTTCACTTCTGCAAAGGTAATGACTTGTCCTCACCTTTCTGCGACTGGCATGAAGCCCTGGGGTACGTCAGGGCTTGCTGGCATCCAGTCTATGTTGGCCAAGTCTAGCTTTGGTTAGCTCCTCATGTAACTGCACAAGTGCTTGAAACTAGCCTCAGAGGGGGTGGGAGGGGCTTGGGGTGGGAACAAGCAGAAGGGAACAGATGAGAGAGGAGAGCACAACCTCTTTTGCCAGCCCTGGTGGGTGACAGCAGCTCAAAAGCTTGTGAAACTAGCATTAGAGCAGTAAGCAACGCTCCTCCCCCTCTTGGGAAGCTTCAGCTAACCTACTCGTGGCACACGTGCTTTGGGAATCAGGCTCAGGCCTAGAAGGACAGATGACAGGAGCTGATACCACCTTCACATATAACTTCGGACTGATGAGCTGCGTGCCTGGCTTTACAGTCCCACAGTTCAGGAGAGGCATATACTGTGTTATGGGGAAAGACTCCATTCACAACACCCTGGAAAAGGGGTCAGACTGAACGGTGGGTCAACTCCAGCTGAAAAGGCCCTCTCAAGCCTCCAAAGCCATCAAGGATGAAGGGATGTTAGGGGACAGAGCTATGCCAGCTCCTGCCACCATAGGCAGGTACCTGCTTTGGGCTGTGCTGGAGTCCTTTGTCATGGCGCGGGCATGGCAAAGCATACTTACGTGGCATAGCCATAAACAGTATTGCCCCAAGGCTCCAGTGGCTGCACCTGTGACAGGGGACACTCTGGGTTGTACCTGGAAGAGGAGATGAAGGTTTGAGTTAGTGCTGAGGCCATCGATCAGTGCGTGCACGGCCCTGTGCCTGAAGGGGACAGAGCCAGAGTGCTCGACAAAACCTGCCTCCTACGGGTAGCAGCAGGATCACCCCTCACGTCAAGTGTAACCACTCCTTTTATTTGGACAGCAGCAGAGACAGCAGCAGCTAGGAGTCCTATGAAGAACCCAAACCACAGGACAACGAGTGAATAGGGCCAACTCTGGCCTATCTGTGCTGGTGAACTGCAAGCCTGTGCCCTGTCCTGCAAGCAGGCCTAGAGCTGCAGGTACAACTGCATCTTCCCAGGGTTAGTTTTTCCACAGATTCAGACAGCAGCACAGTACGGAGCATGTACAGGTTCACCTATTTCCAAGAGCAGTTAGATCTGTCTGGGGTGACTGGTTTCCACCAAAAAAGTTGTCATGCTAGCACTCAAGGGTAAGCCTTGCCCAGGAGCTTGTCTGACTGGAGTCAGATTGGACAGCACAGGGACCGGTTTGTTCCAGGGTTGGAGGTTTACATCAGTGGTTTGGAGCTGCTCCCAAACACACAGGGACAAGAGCTGAGAACAGAGGCGGTGTTATTCAGTCCCAGGGTAGTTTGCCAGGGTTGAAGTTGGCAAAGCTGAGGAGAACAGAAGGGACTGTTATATAGTCAGCAGCCAGCAAGTCACCTACTGCTAGTGGTGAAGTCTGGAGTTGCTGTTGAATGGTAATATTCATCTGGCTTGTATAAATTTTCTGAAGAGGCTCAGAAGAGAAATGTGGGAAAAGAGATGCTTCTAAATATGAACATTGAACGGGGAGATTTATCTACCCCCAGCTTCTCCTAAACAAACGGGGGTAGCTAGGATTCCAGGCCTGAAGAGACAAGACATCAGATCCCCAAATAAGCAGAGGTCCTTGCTGCCCCCATGGTGGGTGCTTCTCATCCAAGGTTGCACGGACGCAAGTTAGTGCAAGCCTTTCACGACTGTACCAACAAGCACACATTGCTATGGCTGCATATGTTCAGCAGTGGCATTTTCAGACCGTGACCGAGCAAGTGAGAGGCCTGACAACTGCTCACTCCTGCACCAGCCCCCGTTAAAGTCTCATTTATACAGCACATTTCTTGCAACCGAGTTGTAGTGAATGCAATCCTGAGCTGCATTCCGGATAGGAGATGGTGTCTTCCTTCCTTCCTAAGTGGCATGTACTAGAAACCCTCATAAATCAGTGCCTGGGCAGACAGTGTGCTGAGATTCCTGGAAGAGGCAATTGCATCCACCCAAAATTAGCATTGGTCTACACGTAAATGTACTAGGTTACACACAGACTTCACGTTCCTGGTTCCTCCTGCACTGACACTGAACATCTGTTACCATTTGGCTGAGGAGGATGTATTTCTTGTCATTTCTGATGGCGACACTTGGGGTGAAGAGATACTCCAAGTTAGATCCTTCTTTGTCAGCACACATGCAGCTCCTCCTAATTCAAGTGGGGCTGAGCAAACAGTCAAAGACTGTAACTGTCTGCAATTCTCAACATCAGTCTCATCAAAAGAGCATTGGGAAAATGAGCGCTGGCTGTTTCTGGCACAACTATGAAATTCAGATGCTTTGCTGAGCTGAAACACTGACTTCTGTTGCTCAAGAAAAATAAACCCAGGAGAGAGCCTTCTACAGCAATCCATCGTGAGCCCAGGGATAACACTTACTGCACTGAAGTGCTGTGCTTGCTGTGAGAAAGGGTAGGAAAGAAGCGTCAGATTGGTGAGGAAAAGAGAAAAACAGCCACGTAACCACATCGAAATGTCAGAGCAGATCTCACATCACATCCTTCTCCCAAAGTGCCTAAAGAATTCACTGAGCACATAAACTACTAGCAATGCCAAGAAAGGAAACACCAATCCAAAAGCTATTTCATATATCGTTGTCATTTGTGTTAGAAATCCCACTGCAGCCTTCACACAGCAAAGCTACACGTTGCTGTGCTAAATTTAGGCAGTGCATTTGACATCTGGGTGAATTCCTGGCCTAACCTCTGCCCCCAGATCTGGCACGGGCTGCAGTGCTGATCCAGCAGCTCCGTTCAGCAAAGGCTATCTCAGAATTACAGAATCACAGAATTATAGAATGGTTGAGGTTGGAAGGAACCTTTAGAGATCATCTAGTTCAACCCCCCTGCTCTTGCAGGGTCACCCAGAGCATGTCGCCCAGGACCCTTTCCAGATAGCTTTTGAATATCTCAAAGGATGGAGATGCAACAACCTCTCTGGGCAACCTGTGCCAGTGCTCCAGCCACCCTCACGGTAAAAAAGTTTCTCTTATGTTCAAACAGAACTTCCTGTGTTTCAGTTCGTGGCTGTTGCTTCTCATCCTACCGCTGGGCACAACCGAAAAGACTCTGGCCCCATCCTCTTTACATTTTCCCTTCAGACATTTGTATGCATTGATAAGATCCCCCTTCAGTCTTCTCTTCTCCAGGCTGAACAGTCCCTGCTTTCTCAGCCTTTCCTCAGAGGAGAGATGCTCCGGTCCCTTAATCATCTTAGTGGCCCTTTGCTGGGATCACCCCAGTATCTCCATATCTCTCTTGTATTGGGGAGCCCAGAATTGGACACAGTCCTCCAGGTGAGGCCTCACCAGGGCTGAGGAGAGGGGCAGGATCACCTCCCTCCACCAGCTGGCAATGCTCGTTCTCATGCAGCCCAGGATACACCATTGGCCTTCTTGGCCACAAGGGCACATTGCTGGCTCATGCTTACCTTGTCCACCAGCACTCCCAGGTCCTTCTCTGCAGAGCTGCTTTCCAGCAGGTCAACCCCCAGTCCCCAGCTTGTCCTGGTGCATGGGGTTATTCCTCCTCCCTCCTTTATTGAACTTCATGAGATTCCTCTCTGCCCATCTCTCGAGCCTGTCCAGGTCCCTCTGAATGGCAGCACAGTCTTCTGGTGTGTCAGCCACACCTCCCACTTTTGTATCATCAGCAAACTCTGTCCCATTATCCATGTCATCGATGAATAAGCTGAACAGGATTGGACCCAGAATTGACCCATGGGGTACACTGCTTGTTACTGGCCTCCAGCTAGACTTGCCTCCAGCTAGACCTTGCGCCAATGATCATAAACGAGCTCTCCCGTTCAGCCAGTTCTCAATCCACCTAAGGGTGTGCTCACCTAGCCTGTACTTCCTGAGCTTGCCTGTGAGGATGTTACGGGAGACAGTGTCAAAAGCCTGGTAGTCCAGGTAGACAACGTCTACTGCTCTGCCCTCATCTACCCAGCCAGTCAATTCTATCATAGAAGGCTATCAGGTTGGTTAAGTATGATTTCCCTTCGGTGAATCCATGCTGACTACACCCAATCACCCTCTTGTCCTTCCTGTGCTTGGAAATGGTGTCCAGCATTAGTTGCTCCATCACCTTTCCAGGGACCGGGGTGAGCCTGCCTGGCCTGTAGTTCCCTGGGTCCTCCTTCTTGCCCTTTTTGAAGACTGGAGTGACACTGGCTTTCTTCTGGTCCTCAGTCACCTCTCCTGATCGCCATGATCTTTCTAAGATGACTGAGAGTGGCTTTGCAATGACATCAATCAGCTCCCTCAGCACTCGTGGGTGTATCCCATCAGGCCCCATGGACTCATGTATGTCCAGTTTGCTTAAGTGACCCCTAACCCGATCCTCCTCCACCAAAGGAAAGTCTTCTTTTCTCCAGACCTTCTCCTTGGGAATTCCTGAAAGCTGATCTTACCAGTAAAGACTGAGGCAAAGAAAGCATTCATTACCTCTGTCTTTTGTATCCTTTGTCACCAGGACCCCTGCCCCATTCAGCAGTGGGCTCGCGTTTCCCCTACTCTTTCGTTACCGACATATTTATGAAAGCTCTTCTTGTTGCCCTTGACAACCCTCACCAGATTCAATTCTAGATGGGTCCTGGCCTTCCTAGCCTCATCCCTGCACACTCGGATAAAGTCCCTATATTCCTCCCAGGTTATCGGTCCCTGCTTTCACCTTCTGTATACTTCCTTCTTCTGTTTGAGTTTTGCCAGGAGCACCTCGTTCAACCGTGCAGGTCTCCTGCTCCCTTTGCTCAACTGCTTGCTCACTGGGATGGACTGTCCTTGAGCTTAGAGGAGGTGATCCTTGAATATCAACCAGCTTTCTTGGACCCCTCTTCTTTCTAGGACCCTATCCCATGTGATTCTTCCAAGCAGGAAGTCTGCTTCATCTGTGGACCAGGGGAACGCTAGTGTATCCCTACTGGTGTGTCCTCTAGAGCCACGTGCTCCTGCTTATCTGCAAGCAGTCCCCTGCCTGGCATCACACTGGGAAGAGCAGCTAGGTGCTGCCACATGTGCCGGGACGGCAGATAGGTACTCAGCGGTGCAGAGATGTAACATGCTCTGCTCTCTCTGTGGGGCATGCAGTGTGCTAAGGGCAGAGGGGAACAAGAGGGAGGACCGGAAAACTGGAGATGCTTCACTGCGGGGCATTCAGGGAAAGTACCAAGGGACAGAAACTTCCAGCAAAATTGGCAACTTAGAGCTGTGAAAGGCAGGATAAGTGCCGGCTTGTAAACCTACCTGAAACAACTATTCCAAGCTCTGTTACTGCATCTAAAAAGGCAACAAAGATTTAACATCTTTCCAGGGGCTGGTGGCTCTTTCAGGGCAGAAAACTAAGATGCCTGCAGTATCAACATCTCCGTTATCCAATGACTTCCCAGTTCGCAGTCCAGGACCACAGGAAGAAAAGAGAGACTTTACTACCTTTGCCCTCCAGGTCTTTTCTGTCCTGTAAGTCTGCCGCAGGAGCCCCAAATAAATGAAACGATGATAGCTTTTACTCGGTAAGTCTAACTCTACTGAAAATGGGCAAATAGTAATTTTCTGCAGCCCAAAAATCAGCCAAGGCAAGATGCGTTTTCCACAGAGAGAGGGAAAAAGCTGTTCTCCGACCTCAGCATCAGCTTCAGTCCCACTTCAAGGCATAAAGACTTTGGACGTCTTAAAGGAAATGGCCAGTAAAACCAGTAGCACAGTTTAAAATATTTTCCCCATCACGTTCCCCAACGTTTCCTGTGTTGCTCTTTTCACTGAGACATTAACAAAAACACAGCCAAGAGAAAAGAGATGAGCTAAGCAGTCTGGCCTAAGCATGCAAGGCAACACGTAGAGTGAAAGCACAAGGTCAGTGAGCAAGTAAGCACAGCAGGCCAGCTGGCACGTCAACCATACAAGACCTGCAGAGGAGCAGGAAAGGGCTGGACTTGCACGGCAGGCCTCAGTGGCCTTCCTGCAGTAGCAGGGCCAAACGGCGTGAAGGGATGTTGTTACAGCCTGCCAGGCTGGGTGCAGGGGGAATCACTTGGAGATGAAGCAGAGAATGGGGCCACTGTGATGGGACTCCTACATAAAAAGACAAATCTGTACTGTCTTTGCACTTAGTTTCAGTAAACACTTCATGCTAGGGCAGAGCTAGCCTTGCACAGACTTGAGACGACCATCAGGACTTGGTCTAATAGCCTTAAGCCTGTCAGGCTTCCTCATCACGGAAAATCAAGGAAAGGCCTCCAGCCCCTTCTCTCCAGCAGATCTCAGGTACGATCTGATGCTTACAAGGCTGAATCTAATGTGTGACTGACAGGGCTGCCCAGGAGAACCTGCAAAATCCAACAGTCTTGGAGATTTTATGACACAGTCTAATAACCTGCGAGAAAGGCCTCGGCTCAGCAGAGGGACAGAGGACATGCCCCCGGCAATCCACAGCAACATCTCTGAACGGTAGGTAACATTGCTTAACGGGGGCTGAGGCTGGCAGCTGCTTTCCTGACCCCTCCAAATGCCACGTTCTGCCCTTCCTGGGAGAGGAAAGGGGAAAAGCACCCTACCATTTCCTGCAGGTGTCCAGAAGAATGAGATTCAGGGCTGTCTGCCGCTGCTGCATCTTCTGGAGGATCCTCTGCACGCTGATGCAGTTCTCAGGGGCATAAGGCTGTGGGGCATCAATGGGGACCATGTAGTTCCTTCCCAAATGCTCGTAACCATGCCCGGCATAGTAAAATATAGCTGGGAACGTGAAGAGGAGAAGGTGAGTCACAATGCAAACCTGCAGGCCTGTAACTAGCTCCCCATGACCATGTGCCATATCCCACTTTGAAGTGACACTGGCACAGGATAGACCCAGATCAGTAGCACCTTTAGGCAGGAAACTGGAACTGAATTGACCTCACAGTTTTGACTTTCTTTGAATCTGCTCCTTTCAGCAGACTTGAGAGATGCCCTGAGAAGCTCTACTGTACTTGTGCTTTCCAGCACTGTTCTTCAGGAGATCCCAGTGTCACTGGGTTTAGATATTTGCTGAACAGTAACCACCTGTGCTGCAACATCCAGGCTCTGTATCTGAAAGGCTGAGTTCCATTTTTGTACAAAGTTTCGGTTAAAAAAAAAAGCTTGGCTCTTAGCAAGAAGGAGATAACAGACAAAAAAGTATTTTACCCTGATCAAAAATATATTAACAATATTTTAAATGCAAAGCTCCACAGCTTCTTGGTTTTGGGGCAGAGACTGGCAATGCATCAGGTGATGGAAAACACCCTTCAGCTTTCAAAAATCTGCCTATATTTATATATTTAAGAACTAGTGAAAAAAGAGATAGATAGAGACCTGAACACATGCACCACATGTTTCAGCGATCTCAAACCAGCTACCAGCCCTGTAAGGTGGGAGAGGGGTCAGACTCTTAGAGGTGTTGGTGGGAAGGGACCTCTGGAGTCCAACATTCAGCAAGGATTTTGGTTTGGAATTTTACTCTTAAGCACGGAAAACCATAACAAAAGTTTCTGCCTTCACAAGAGAAGGCAATACGGGAACCTCCAGCTTGGAAAGCCCAGCATCGAGGAGGCCAAAGGTAATGCTTCTCTCCGACTCCCATTTAGCTCCCTGCATATGCATTTGCAGAAGGGCTTTCCTTACATGTAGGGATCCTCATGTGAGCTGTAGCCTTCCAAAAGGAAGCTGCACAGTGACTTTCTAGCCCTTCCCAGCACTGATACAACTGTTAGTGGGACTTTGCCCAAAGACAGCTCAGGGAACTGAAAGGGGCTGAAAACTGCTCTATAAGATGACGCAAACAGTTGCGTTGCTGCAATTATGGGACAGTGGAGAACTAGAGTTCAGAAATGGGAACAAGCAACTAAGAGGCAAAAGCAGGGGAACTTCTTAAGTCAGATCTGCTGCCACAGCCCTTGCTTCATTGAATAACTGCCGCCTCTATTTTTCCCCGCACTGTTCCTGCCCCTGTAGTTTTCAGGGCACCCATTTTGATCTCTCATGCTGGAAGAGATGTAGCGAATGAAGCAGAAACTGAAGGACTGAAAGCATGACCTCACAGTAGAGACAACCTAAAATCATCTTTGGTTTCTATTCTCAGGGGGTGAAAGTCACTCAAACAGCTGTTTTCACAGGTGCCTGAAAGGTTTGGGTTCCTCTTCTTGTGGATCCCCAGCCAGAAACAGTGGGCTCTGACTTGCAGAAGTTCTAAACTTTCATAACTTGCAAATCAAAGCCACAAAACCCTGCTTTGATAAAAGAATATCAAATGGGAAGCATTCTGAAAAAATCAGATGCAAGCATTTCAGATTTGGCCTCTGAAGCAGTAAAGCACTTCTGGCTCTCATCTCTCTGGCTGTTTTCTGTACGTAAAATGAAGACGATGAGATCCTTTACTGGACCAAGGCACTGTTAAGATAGCATCACTGACCCTTGGAAAGAACTAAAACATTACAGAAAAGCCCAGAAAGAATGGCTAAATCACTAGTCATTGCAGGGTTTCCATGATGAAAGTCAATCACATGCGGGGATCATCTCTACATGAGAAGAATAAAATAACATATAAAAGAAAGAAATATTAAATAATAAAATAACACAGTGAGTGGCCAAATGCCACCTGCCCTGAGTGCAGCATGGTCCTTGCCTACAAAAATACAATGCAAATTGTATTTGCAACAGACAGCATCTAAACACAGAGCTACAGAAGGGCTCAGGTTAAGACGGCACAAACAGCTCAATATAGCACTTTCTGACTTCTGGGAGCCCGTTTTGCAACCTGAGTACACCACTGAGTGCTCCCTGCACTATATAAAACACAAGACAAAAACGACTCTAGTTCCGTTCAAAAGACAGGAAACACCAGGATTCACGTGGGTTGAGCAGCTTTGCTGGAAACCTGTTCTAAACATAATCTCTCACTTTAAACAGGCACCTCAACATTTTGAGTGGAAGATTTTTTTTTTTTTAATTCTCAGTTAAATTTCACTGTCTTCCCACATTTTGTGAGTTAAAACTGCTGACCCAAGAGTAGCTTCCAAGTACCAAAATATAAAGGGGAAGTTCCAGGCACTGGTTATAACACAGGAAATGTCAGCATACAGTTTAAATAACATATGACGGTATATTCCTAGTATTTCTCTTGCAACTTTTTCTCTATTGCATTTCCGATATTATTTTTTGACTTGGGACTTTTTAGGATGGTTGAAATAACATCTAGGGAGAGTCCCTGCTTGCCTGAGGGTTACATATTCGGGGGCGTTTGGGGCCTTCAAAGTCCACTGCAGCTCTTCTAAGAGGAGATCCGGAGGGAAAGTAGGGTGACAGGTAAGCCACCATCTCTGGAAGGTGAATTAAAAAAGCCTTTAGCTAGCTAGATCACTTCGAACGTGCAGTCATACAACACCCCTGGTTTGTTTCATTCCTGAAAAGGAAGCCTGGGTTGGCTCAGGTCCTGAAAAATCTCAGATGAGGTTCAATAATAAAATGTGCGAAGTCCTGCATCGGGCAGATAACCCCAGGCATCATTTTGGCTGGGGAGCTACTGCTTGAGCAGCAGCCCTGGAGACAAGCACCCGGGATCATGGCTGCCACCACGCTGAAGGTGAGTCAGCACTGGGGCTCTAATAGGGTTAAGGCAAAACACACACAGGCTCCAGTAGGAGATGCAGGATCAGCAGGGCGAAGGAAGCTGTTGCACCATCTCCTTGGCCCTGGAGAGGCCCCGCTTGGATCCTGCGTTGTCTTAGGGCCATCAATTCAAGAGGGTGATGGAGAAACTAGAAAAAGGCCAGCAAAGGCTACTGAAACAGTGGGGCCCAGGGTTAGCCTGGTAAAGCAAAGGTAGGCTTCTGTTAGACCCTGGCTTCACAACTCCCGCAGGGGCTGTTACAGAGACAACAAAGCTCAACCCCTCTCAGCAGTGGCAATATAACATGGGGCAACGGGCACAGATTACACCTTGGGAGGATCAGGTTGGACAGGAGGCAGGGCTTATCCCTGCAGGGTGGTGCAGCCCTGGGACAGGCAAGCAGAGAAATGAGGGGCTTCATGCTTGGATGTCCTCAAGACCTGATAAAGACAGCCACAACCAACCTGATCTTGTGTTGATGATAGTCCTGCTTCCTGCTGTGAGTGGGATTTGGACTGCAAAGGTTCCTTCCCCTCTCCCCCTCCACATAAGACACACAGCTCAGTACGTACATACAAGGGAGGCCTGGCCAACCAGACAGCCCCTGCATTAGAAGGGGCGTAGGGCGGTCAGGTACTTCTTTTTCAGCTATTAGCAACATCCTGAAGCTAAATAAAAACCCTTGAAGCAGTAACAAGTATCCTGCTTCAACATTAACCCAAGTAGCTACATTTTCTCTTCTGATCTGTACCGGGGAGAAAGACGCATGAATGCACTAACATTTCTGCTGTTGCTGTTAAACTTCAAAAGACAGTCAGCATCGCCCCCAGGGCATGCAGATAGGTGTGTCCGTCTTACACCAGGATCTCCCACTTCAGCCTTGTGAAAGTCTTTCACGAGTTAGCCCCTTCCTCCTAGCTCTCTGCTCAGCTCCATGTGACTACACAAAGTTCTCGTGACTTCAGCTTTGATGGTTGCAACACGGGTGATGGCACTGCAGGGTTCCCCAAGCAATAAAAAACAGGTGCAGGCACTGGGATGGCTCTGTTTTATGCAGGTGGATGTCCAAGACACTTACGTGGATGTACAGGATAAGCATTCCTCTGTGCACATGAGCTTCATAGTTTTAATGGGTGACCTAGATTGTCACTGGAGCTGCTGTGTCACCATTACCTTCCTCTGCATCTGAGCTATCCAAATTCTCAATCTGTCAAGTGGTTCTAGGCCTTTATTCTGGAGCTGGTGCCTTGAAAAGCTGATATGCAGAGTTTAGAAGGAATTGTTGACCTTTTCTAAACACGCACGTCTATCAACACCACAAACTAATTTCAGTGACTTGCTTCTCACCAGTTTATTTTAATTTTATGCAAGATAAACATCTGAAGAAACACTGTGAAGATGCATCACAGCGAGAAGCACTGCAGTTCTGATCCAGAAACCCTGGGACAATCAGCAGACAGACTGACCCAAGTCCCCACTGTAAGTCTGGATGCCACCCAATTCTGACAAGAGTCTTCAACTTGATCACTGTCCTGAGCCTCGCCTGATGTTTGCTGTCTCAATACATCAGCAGGCCACTCAGCTTAGAAAGCTGTAAAGAAAAGCCACTATTCAAAGCAAGCTATGCCTGACAAATGCTCAGGGCTTATTAAGGTTCAGTACCTCAGCTGCTATTATTTTCCTTGCCAGTGCACAAAATCAATTTTGCCATGAAGAATCAATGGCCAAGAATGTAGAAAAGCACTGGAAGTTTAAAAAAGGCATGACAGCATGAAAGGTTTGTCATTTAAAGTCTTTTTTCTCTCCAATGCTTATGAAAATAAGGCAATCTCAGTGTAAAAAAAAAAAGTTGCTTGGTCACCATGTGCTATGGATACAGACTTGCTGGACAGGATCTGCAGCTCCTTATAGCCTGCTAGACCCATAGAAGAAGCACAACACCTCCCCAGGGGGAGCCCAGGAGAAGCAGAGGACTCTGGTGAGGGAGAGAGGAGGTAACGCCTGAGGTTGAAGGGGATTTCAGAGAGCAACCACAAAAGGAAGTTTGTAAGTGAAATCATAGGAAAAAGTTGTCATCAGATGATGCACTCAGTCCAAGCAGTGACAATCGTGTGCTCCCTTTCCACACCAGTTGAACCTCCTAGAGTGAGTCAGAGACTCCTGGAAGGAGGTAGCTTTGCTGTATTTCTTCATATTATAATTTCATTTGTGGCCTTGTCCATATCCTTTGCGCAACATCCAAACCTCACACTGATCACCATGCTGGAATTGGTCTGCACTTATGCCTTCTATCTGAATATCTTAGTATGTCACTCAGCCCAGAGGGCTGGGAAGAAAAGCCTCATACAAAGCAAGCTGCGCCTCACACTCAGGTTTGGAAGAAGAAATCATCTGCCAGACATTGCTAGGGTATTTGTCACGTTCAGAGGACCTCACAGTCCCCAAAGTCCACCAACGACTCTAAACGCCTGCTTTAAGATCCACAAAATCTGTTCTTTAACTTTGTTTCTAAGGAATGCTTTCCACTGAAGACAGCGTGTGATAAGCTCAAAGCCCAGCAGCTCCAACCTAAGCCATCTACAGCTGGAAGTGGCTCTGCACTTCTACAAAAAGGCTGCTAGTACCTCAAATTAGACCACCAGGAAAGAGAGGCAAGGAAACTGTGGCCTGCTGCAACACTCAAAATGAGTTCCTACCCTCATGAAGGAACTCTGTGGGGTCACCACCATTGACTTTAAAAACAATTTCCTAGATTTTGTCTTTTAAGAAAAAAAATTAAAATACCTTCTCCCATGCGCTGGCTCCCCAAAGTCTGGAAACTGCAGCACAAGACCATGCTATTCGAGTTAAAAGCTAGCCATGTAATAGAGAAACACCCACTATGACTGCCTGTAATTTGGTCAAAACTGAGCAGCGTTTACCTGGGGCCTCCTGCCAAGCCTGATGCTCCCCTTTCCCACAAAGGGGAAGGTAAACTTCTTTCTCTTAATGTAAGAACTGTTATGAAAATTTATTTCCGAATCCCTGCTCCTCCCTTGCATCAACCACTGTTAAGCTTGCATTGGCTATTGCCTCCTCAGTGTAAGTGGATGCCTGGGCTGGCTTTGCCTTACCGTAGACCCCTTTCCCCAAGAGCTGCAGAAACCGACTGACCGCTGTCATCATCTCAGCCTTGTTCAGGTCCAGAAGAGAGACAACTTGGAACCCCAGTTGCTTTAGAAGAAGACTCAGTTCAAACACATCTGTGACAGGAGCCATCAGGTTTGGATGATGCTGGTAATGGTTGTTGCCCACTAAAAGTGCTATCTTGTCTGTAGCTAACAGAAACACCAAATGACAAAGCTGTAAGTGCTCAGCAGGGATCAAGGTATCACTTCACTCAGTTAGACTGAGGATACGTTAAATCTTTTCTTACATTTATTTGAGATATATATAAAAAATCAGTGAACAAATCTAGTTTTTAACCTGGTTTAAGCTCTGTTTGACTTGTTGTCCAGAGAGCTAGCAGCTCATAGACCAGCTCCACGTTATGCCAGTCTGCTTGGAAACAGAGCAAGGATTTGAGGGGCGGGAGGGCTGTCAGCAGACAAACCAAAAGGGAGAAAACATTTTCATTTCATTCTCAGGCATTTTGGGTCTTTTAAACATTTTGACAAAACATAGTCTCACACAAACCATCATATTGAAAGCAAAACCTGAGAAATTTACTTGGAAAGCAAAAACCCAGCAGTGCAGGAGGATCTGCTGTACTGGAGTTATCCAGCACCTACCCTACTGTGTCCGAGTCTTGCATGCCAGCAGTGCCTTGGAAGGAGAAGCATTGAGCCAGACATAAGAGGTCCTTTCTCCCATAGGCATGAAGGACAGAAGTCCCAGGTTCTTGTTTCATTTTAGCCCACAGCTTCCACCGTGGGAAAGTCAGATATATGGCATTCAGCAGCCATGGGAAAAAAGTGCTTCAATTTGGTCCAAGGAGCTCTTTCAAAGGTGGCAAAAAGGTGTCCTGCGAACAAGACTTTGTAAAATCATTTGGCAGACAGAGTGAGATTGGGTTACTCATTAGGAATATTCTCACTCCACTTCCTGAGACCGACTGGTTCTTGGCAGGGGATGGGATTCATTCTATGCCTTGCAACTTAGATCCCAAAAGAATAGAGCCAGCAGAGCCCATGACAATGTGGGCATAAAGGCTCAAAATGGTCTCTGCAGGAAAAACACTGTGTGCTGTCCGCACATCCACCCTAGAGCTTGACCTCTGAATAGGGGAATAATCGCTCAGGAAAAGTACTCACAGTACTCACCAAAAAACTTTTCAGAACGACATGTACCTGGAAAAGAAAGAGGGAAACGATAAGCCCGTGCCCAGCACCTGGCTTTCCAATGCCAACTCTCACCACAGGTCTCAAACCTATCCCCATGGCTCCTGGCTATGCAAAGCCAGATCAAACAATGCAGCAGGGCCGCTGAGCGAGTGACACAGGCTGTTCCTCAGAAAAGTTTTTCACAACCCACTTACTCACCTTAAAGATACTAGTCTGATGATTTCAGAAGCCTGCCTGTACCAGCCCTCCGGAGGTACCTGAACTCACGTGTGGACAGCAAAGGGGGAACAGTGAATAGTCAAGGATGAAGACCAGGGCACGTTCAAGAGGAAGGCGCCTGTGTGTGAGCAGCTGGGAAGGCCAATGAAGCAAAGCTCACAGAAGGGGCAGGCTGGGGGAAGGAGGGCTGGTGTGGAAGAAACAGCGCTGCCCGTCAGAAAGTCTGTACTGCTTATATCAGCTCTGCCTGGGCTGCTGCCCTTCCCAAGATCACCTGTCTACTCCTTCATTGCAGGGAAAGCAAAGGAATCAGAAGAACTCAAGGAAGAAACTTGGTTAGCATAAGCTTCAAAACAAAGAACACTTCCCCATGAACGGTCAGCACTTAGGAAGCAGACTGTTTGCTTTAGATTCTGATAATATTTCCAGCACATTTCAACACCTTGGTTTGCCTTTCCCTGCCTTTTAGCAGTTCCGGCTCAGAAATGCCACCCCACACGAGTCATTTTCACAAGCTCCATAAGCTTCCCTGCCTGCATACAAGTGCAGTATGGTACTTCATTGGTGCCAGCACACCCAGCAGGCATCATTGCAGGAATCCCATCCCCTGAGCTCTCCCAGCACGCAGCCTCTTAAAGTTATCATTACCCTGACAGCTCCAGCTTTATTTTAAAAAAAAAAAAAAAAAAAAAAAAAAAAAAAAAAAAAAAAAAAAAAAAAAAAAAAAAAAAAAAAATCCAATCCAGCCCAGGAGAAAGCCCTGAAATCCTAAAGGCTCTAAATGAAGGGAGTAAGGGACAATTTTTAATTGCACAAATTTCATGGGTTCAGAAGACTTCTAGGACCTTAATACTCAGTGCTGACAGCACCTCTAACGCTCCAGGGATGCCTGGAAAGCCATCAGAACAAGCCCATTTGTCCTTTTCCGCTTCTGACAGAGCGGCCTGTTGCATGTCAAAACTACGCATTTTCAACCCAATATACTCTGATACTCCTTTCCCACTACCTGTCCATCCTGGATGCTGTTTTGCCAGCTGCAAGGAGTGAAGAAGAATGGAAAAAGCTTTCTAGTCATACAGGACCAATTTGCACTTTAGAGAGATTTTACAGCCAGCCTAAATGGCCAGGTAAGAAACTTATAGCATAGAAAAATCTCTAGATGGAGTAAAGAGCCAGTAATGTCATCCTGTGCCATTCCTGTCTCATGGCCTAGCAAAGGCACAGGGCCAAAGCAGCCGTCATACTGAAGGTGGAGTATGTACGAGACCCTGGAGAGCCATCTTCTCCCCAGAATCCCTCAGGTCATACAGCAAGCACAGAATCAGGTCCGGCCTACTAGCTGGAGCAGCCTTAACCTTACTGAAATAAACACTGTCCTTCCCAGCTCTGTGAATCTGACCACATAGTACTTTCTCTCAGTAAGACAGTAAATTAGTTTCAGCAAAGGACTCCACTACAATAGCTGTCACCTCAAATTAAATCAGCACCTCAGCAGGGCAAGAATACCTGAGTGAGCATCAGAGAGCAGTCTAATGCGGCAGGTTTTCTTTAAAAGCTGTGTTCAAATGCACACAACCAAAAACTGAAGCAGACGGCGAGCAAGAAGCCAAGTACCCAAGATTCAGCTATGTCTAGCTGCGTGTATGCTAATCTGCCTGCCTGGCAGCCTGACAGCTCCGACACAGGTCACCGATTCTCCTCTCTACTCCCAGACATCAGAAAGACGCTATCTGAATCCCATGTGCAGCTCCATGTCCCACAAGACACTTCACAAAATGCAAAAGCCTTTTCAACTTCAGTCATGCCAAAGGATACAGTGGCATCCCCATGGCCAAGCAGCTGTACAGACACGCAGGAAGATCACTGAGTTTTTTCTTTTACAGACCCCACTTCCCTCGCTAATTTTGAACTCTGTTATCAAGCAATTCCATTTATCACTGCTCTGGCCTGTCAGCAGGGACTAACAGACACCCACGTCCTCACTTGTGTAGCTCCACCAAGATCATCGCTTCAAATATATCCAAGGTGTGAAATTGTGCTTTGCAGACTGTTTCAGTGACAGCTGCCACAGGAGTGCCAGGACTCTCTAATTTCTCTGCAGAGCCCGACGTTGCCTCTTCACAAGTTGCTATGGCTACAAAGGGTTTTTAAGTTGAGCAGCAGCGAGCCTCTCCAATATCCAAGGCCCCCTACACACCACCTCTGCCTAGTGCCTCCCTCACCTTCCAGTGCTCAACACATTATTGCTCAGGGCCTGGCATGTAGCATTCACATAAACACACATGTGTTTTTCCAGACAGGAACTGAGGCAAAAAGTAAATAAGCCATTGTCTAATATGGCTATTTTTTTTTTAACGACATCCTAAAGAAAAGGCACTCAGAAGCATTTTGTGCTGTGCTGGGCTCTGCTGAGAAGCGGTATCTAAAACCAGTGGCCTTTTTTTTGTTACTAACAGTGTACGAGATGGGGGAAAGGTGTAAGCACAGAGCCACGTGTCCAACTAATCCCACAGCCCATAGCCCAACTTCCCTTGCACAGAGTAAGCCCCAGGATAACATCGTTACACTGGGCTCCTTGTTCACCAGCCTGGCCTTTCCAGGCAAGATTACTAAAATCTTTCCTGCCCTATAATCACTTTTCACGCTAAAAGATTATTTGGAACAAACCAGGTGTTGGTTGGCTCTGCTCACCCACGTGAATATCCACCGCGTTGGTCCAATGCTCTCCATGGCTATTGGAGGCGCAGCAAAGGTATGTGCCGGAGTCGCTGACCTTTGCATGGTTGATCTAGACAGATTGAAAGTTAAATCACGTTAGTTACGGTGAATGCTTGCGTTGCCCCGACAGTTTCTGCCAAATGCAACCCTGTTCCTGGAACTCAACGTCTCTTTTGCTGCTGATTGCTAAGACCCTGTTCCTTGCCTGAGAAAGCTCAGTCTAACAAGCTTTTCCATGATTTTTCTTTCCATAAGAAACTCAGTAAGTTCACACACTGTCTGTTGCAGATCTCAGCTTCTAGAGCACAAGGATCCTCTGCCAAAAGCCCTCCCTTCTTTCTCCAACAGCCCTGAAGCACTGTTTCACAGCCATATCCTGTCTCTGGAAGCCCCCTCGCTGGGAGGACAGTGCATGACTATAATCAGGTTGCCCACTTTTCCTCATTTTTTAGATCTCCGTTCACACAGATCAAAGCATGCCTGCGCCTTTAAATGCGATAAGGGCCAGGCATAACAACTGTGACCTGCCATATCCAGGGTGACAGTAAAATATTTAGCAGTCTTTCCAAGCCTTCTGAGGTTCCCCATGCTCGTGACCCAGCAATGAGCTTCTCTCATCACCCACAGTTTATGAACCATCCAGGGGCAACATTACCCAGAGTTTTTTTCTCTTCTGGTGTTCCAGCACATTCCCATTACGGTACCACTGGTAGTTTGGGGCTGGGACCCCCATGGCAGCACACCGCAGTTGTAGTGGCTTCCCTACTTCTACCTTCTGCTCGGCGGGGTTGAGGATGATGACTGGTTCTCCTCGCCAAAGCTGAGGGAGCAGCCCTGTGAAGCAACAGAGTTGGTCCTCTCTTTGCCAGGACAGAAAACAAAGGCAATTTTTTCCCTGTAAAGGGGTCTGTGCAGACTGCCAGAAAAGTGAATTGTTTCCACCTGCACACAGAGATACCACCGCACACTAAGGCTGCTGTTCCAGCCTTGCCTCTGTCTTTCTGCTCTTGGAACAGGGAGTCCTCTAGAGCAACATCTACAATAGTAAGACCACCCACTGATAAGCCAAAGCAAAACCTTTTGCTTTCCCGTTCCAAAGGTGCCCGGATGCCTGAAGAGGCTCATCATCTCCTGCCAAGGGTGCAGTTAGCATGCTGAGGTCAGACACACCCAGAGTTATTTTGCTCAGTTTTGAAATAGCCAGACTGCTTCTTCAAGTTCATATGCCAAACGCAAATTAGCAAACACCCAGCAAAACATCTATTTGGGAAATCTCTGGAGAGTTATCAGCAGGAGGAACAGGTAAAAACAGTCTGGGTTACTGGGATCATGACAGGATCTGACATATCCAGAGCAGGGACACAGCTGTCCGGCTTGGACCTGCACGCCCATTTCACTGGAACGATCCTCCTGTATGATGATTTTAAAGCGAGAAGGGCACACTGACCCTGAAACTGCAAAGGGTCACTGTTGCAAGGGGCTGCAACATTTCATCAGTGGGCAATGGCTGTGCAAAGCACAAAATAGAGAAAAGCTAGAAGACATGCTCTTACCTCTAGCAACACACTGATGTACCTCCACTTTCACCCAGTTAGAGAAGACAGCATTTTTATGGAGGTCATTGATTCTGCAGGTGTACAGTTGGGTTTGCTGTGCAGTGATGAGCAAGTCTTGCTCAGTTGCACCAGGAATCTGGCAACAGGCAGACTAAAAAGAAAACACAGCCAGTCAGCAGCATATCCTATTTTCATCACCGGTAGCAGAAGGCACTAGGAGGACCTTGCTAAGAGCAGGAAGAGTGGAAAGTCCCTGGTTCTGTCTCCTCCTCCAGCCAGAGGGATGCAGAGAGAAGGAGCCTAGTGCTCCGCATAGCATTCACTGAAGCCCTAGGCAAGCACAATTATACAGACATACCCTATTTCCTACTGTTCTTTGCTCCCTTCTACCCTCCTGGTTAGCACCAGATTTGTCCATAGAGAGACATCTGTATTATGCTGCACCACTCCACCAGCCTGTGACCGCAAGATCCAGGGCTATCTCCATGTAAAAGCATTACCTGGTGCTGACAAAACCATTGGTACTGCAGAGATGTGCAGGCCTCAGCTCTGCATCGCAGAGTGAAGGAGTATCCAACAGGGACAGAGACAGAGACCGGCTGCTCGGTGATCACAATGGCTACAGAGAAACAGATGCAGGTTTGTAACACAACCAAGGAGATGGAAACAAGAGGGCAGGTGTGCAGGATCCTCACTCACACAAGTTACTCTTCCTCCTTCAGAGGAGGAACGATCCAGCACAACCCAGGCTCTGCTTTGGTTAGACCAAGGCTGCTCGCTTCTGTTTGATGCTTTCTCAGAAAGGGGCTGGGCACGGAAGTGCTGCCAGACCTGTTGGGCACTTTCTTCTGCAAGGCAGTAAACCCCTCGGATCCCTCAGGGCTCAGCACATGGGGCCTATCCCATGAAGGAAGGGGATTTTGGAAAATTAGGAAGCCCTACCTCCAGGGGATGCACAGGGATGCCACCATGCTTTTAAAGTCTTCTTGATAGCTTAAATAAACAGGCCACAGCACTTTAAGGCATATGCTTTGTGCTGTCCCAGATGAAACGCAACACAGGCATTTCTTTGATGTGGATCGCCTATCTGGACTACTCAGTTTGCTTAACTGACAACTTACAATGCCTAGCAGCACCTACTCCAGGACACCAGCTGCAGCTCCCCAGCTGACTCCACGCCTGAACACGGCCAGGCAGCTGCTCACCTTTCTGCATTGCTTTAACAGCAGCTTGTCCTCCAAGCCTGCATGCATGCAGCTGGCCTCAACAGCCGTCGGTCTCACACTTGGCTCTTCTCCCAGCTAAAAAGCAGCACCTGCCTAGGCAAGGGAAGGAAAGAGCAGAGATGGTAAGGCAGCTTCAAGTTCCCCATGGGGCACATCAGCCACCCAGGACTCCCTCTCTCCATCCTCCACTCCCACAGCTGGCTGCCAGGAAGGGGGGGAAAAAAAAAAAAAAAAGCAGAGAAGGAACAGAGGAGGCTGTATGCCATTCACGTCATCCTTCACACTCCCCTCTCAACCTCCTGGGCCTTGAACGGACAGCCTAGGCTCTCTGCGCTCCTCGGGGCAGAGCTGGAAGGGCTGCATCCAACTCTGGGTGCGCTGTTCCCGCTGTCCTGCCAGCCGGAGCTGCAGAGCGGGCAGCCGCCGCGCACCTCGCCCGGCT